AACATTCAAAATAGTAGCTAGTACTTATTTTTATTAAAGCTGGTTTCGGTGGTTGTCACGATCGTCAGGGAGAGAAGTAGACCAATGCGCAGCGTGATGAACGAACATGTTACTTTATTATATTAAAGCACAAAACAATAAACGACTCGTGAAGTCCACGGTGACAATGACCGAACACGGAACAAAAACCCACAAACACCAAGGGAAAACAGACAGTATAAATATGGCTCCCAATCAGAGACAACCAGCCAACAGCTGACACTCGTTGCCTCTGATTGGGAGTCACTCAGGCAAACATAGAATACACAACCTAGAACACCCAACATAGAAACAGAACACATAGAATGAACACACCCTGGCTCAACATATAGAGTCCCAGAGCCAGGGTGTGACAGTACCCCCCCCTAAAGGCGCGGACTGCGCCCGCGCCTCAACAAGAGCAAAACAGGGGAGGGCTGGGTGGGCTCACCTCCTCGGCGGCGGCTCCGGCCCCGGCCTTGCCCACCACCCTCCAATAAACCCCCCATAGCGCCCCTGGTCCGGTCTGGCCCCGCTGGCTGGAGCTGACCTGGACGTAGCAGGAGCGGCTAGCTTCAGCTCCGTTGTGGAGCAGTTGAGCGGTACCTGATTTGGCACCGATGACCCAGGCACGGGTTGTGCCAGACTGACGACGCGCACCCCTGGCTTGGTGCGTGAGGCAGGAACTGACCGGACCCTGACCGGACCGGGCTGACGATGCGCACCCCTAGCTTGGTGCGTGGAGCCGGAACGGGCCTCACCGGACTGACGACTCGCACCCCTGGCTTGGTGCGTGGAGCCGGAACGGGCCTCACCGGACTGACGACTCGCACCCCTGGCTTGGTGCGTGGAGCCGGAACGGGCCTCACCGGACTGACGACTCGCACCCCTGGCTTGGTGCGAGTAGCAGGAACGGGCCTCACCGGACTGACGACTCGCACCCCTGGCTTGGTGCGAGTAGCAGGAACGGGCTGGACCAGGCTGACGACTCGCACCCCTGGCTTGGTGCGAGTAGCAGGAACGGGCTGGACCAGGCTGACGACGCACACCGTAGGCTTGGTGCGTGGAGCAGGGACTGGCCGGACTGGGCTGGCGACGCACACCGTAGGCTTGGTGCGTGGAGCAGGGACAGGCCGGACTGGGCTGGCGACGCACACCGTAGGCTTGGGGCGTGGAGCAGGGACAGGCCGGACTGGGCTGGCGACGCACACCGTAGGCTTGGGGCGTGGAGCAGGGACAGGCCGAACCGGGCTGTGGAGACGGATAGGAGACCTGGAGTGAAGAGCGGCCACAACCCGTCCTGGCTGAATGCCTACCCTCACACACTCTGTGTGAGGCATCCGCACAGGACGTACAGGGCTGTGTACCCGCACTGGCATAACAGCACGTGACACTGGAGCAGGATATCCGGGACCGCGGAGAGGCATTGGAGACCACGAGCGTTGAGCCGGCACACTCCGTCCTGGCTGCATACCCGCCTTCGCACGACACGTGCGGGGCGCTCGCACAGGACGTACAGGACTATGCCGGACCACTCGTGGCACAGAACGCCGCTCCGCATACCGCGGAACCTGCCCCGTCCCATGCTGCCATGCCTGAGTACGGGACGTTGGTTCCGCTCTCCTTCCAGGCTCCGCCAACCTGCCTTCTGGCCCCCCAAACCCGGTGGCCTCCTCTCCAAATCGCCCTGTGGCAGCCTCCTGCTGCCCAGCCGCCCATGCAGTGTGCCCCCCCCTAAAAAATTTTTGGGGTTGCCTCTCGTCCTTCCGACGATGACACTGCTGACGCCGCTGCTCCTCTCTCGCCAGGGCCTTAATCCTTGCCCATGGCCCTTTGCCCCCGAGCATGTCCTCCCAGGACCACGATTTGCCCACCTGGGCCATCGCCAGCCTCTCCATCTCCTTTCCTGGCGCTTCCTCCCATGTCCAGTCTGCCTGCTCCTGGACACGCTGCTTGGTCCTGGTATGGTGGGTTTTTCTGTCACGATCGTCAGGGAGAGAAGTAGACCAATGTGCAGCGTGATGAACGAACATGTTACTTTATTATATTAAAGCACAAAACAATAAACGACTCGTGAAGTCCACGGTGACAATGACCGAACACGGAACAAAAACCCACAAACACCAAGGGAAAACAGACAGTATAAATATGGCTCCCAATCAGAGACAACCAGCCAACAGCTGACACTCGTTGCCTCTGATTGGGAGTCACTCAGGCAAACATAGAATACACAACCTAGAACACCCAACATAGAAACAGAACACATAGAATGAACACACCCTGGCTCAACATATAGAGTCCCAGAGCCAGGGTGTGACAGTGGTAATGTGGAGAATCGTTATTTTTGTGCTTCAAAAATGCACATTTGATATCATTTACTCAACAAAAATGGTGTCCGCAAAAATAAACTAAAAGAAACAATATTTCAGTAGAAAAAGTATTTGTCCCTACCCTAGAAAAATTACTGATTTAAGGCATTTCATTTACTAGGTCATCAAACGCTTCAGTTTTTGCTCAGCTAGGGCATTTTACTCTGAATGATATTTGAGACAGAGACAGCCAGCAAAAAATCTAGATGACCTCATTCACTGCAGTCTTAATGGTAATACTGTTAGGGACTTGTCTATGCAGACAATAACATGTCTCAAATTTCTACACTTCTCCAGAAAATATTCTGTTTACATGCATGAGTGCTCAACATGGAGTGGTTTCCGGTGGACATAGATTGAGCCTAGTCCTAGACTAAACATTATTTTCAATGGATATTCTCCACTGAGCTTTTTCGTCCAGGACTAGGTTTCATCTGTGTCCGGGAAACTGCCTCTATGAGCTAAAACATGTAGCTCAGTTGGTAGAGCATGGCGCTTGCAACGCAAGGGTTGTGGGTTCGTTTCCCACGGGGGGCCAGTATGAAAAATGTATGCACTCACTAACTGTAAGTCGCTCTGGATAAGAGCGTCTGCTAAATGACTAAAATGTCAATTGGATCACAAAATTTTTTACAACAACAGCATGAGTACAAGTAACACAAACAGACACTTCACTATCAGTCATAAAATGTCAAAGTGCTATTAGTAAAGTTAGTCCAATAGTTTCTCAGTATAATTTGTTTTCATGTGATACATGGTTGAAGGATAGACTAATGGAGCCTAAAAGCAAAAAAATGAGATTCCTCAGCACATCAGCATGGGTCTCCAGTGCAATCTTCTCTGAAAAGGACAGTATGACTCTGACAGTTGCTCCAACAGGTGACCTAATACAACGGTTGCTTTGAATGACGTTGCTGCAATAGGGTTATGACAGCAACAGGGTCCTGACAATGTTAGTAAATTGTGAATAAACTCACGTTTTTCCTGTAAGAATTGATCACTTTCACTTTGAACTAAAAACTTCTAACATGTTTTAGCCTTCATACTTTTGAAGCCAGCCATGTTATTCATGAGATCAACACAGGACAGCAGTAGAGGTGCCTGGCCTGGGGAACATACATAGCCTATGCAGTTTGTCTTAAGGGGGAGATGCCAGGAATGTAAAAGACGGTTTAGGCCAAGCTACACTTTGTTTTCAGCCAGTGGCCCGTCAAGTTATGTGCAGCGTTGGATTTCTCAGTGAAGAGAATGAAGTGTCATTTCCTGAGAACAAAATAAAAGCACCCGATAAACCCACTTCCTCTTCCATCTCACAGCTATGACTACGCTACGCATCAGCTGAAAATAAACATTCATACACATGCACGTCACCTTTTCTAAATACGATTTTAAAGAGGCCAATTAACAAGACAGAGATCAATCATCAGAATCTAGAGAACACTGTAAAAAAAATATGTGTCCCAACTCAAGCTCTTTTAGTAAGTTTACTCAACAATTTGGAGTAGTGTTGGTCCTCTGTAGCTCAGTTGGTAGAGCATGGCACTTGCATCGCCAGGATAGTGGGTTCAATTCCCAGGACCACCCGTGAGAAAGAAAGAGAGAATGCATGATTGTACATTTCTTTGACTAAAAGTGTACGCTAAATGGCATATTATGAATAAACATCCACATTTTAAGCATGAAGGACACCATATTGCTTGCTAATATCGAGATTCGAACCCACAACCTCTGCCTCACAAACAGTCGCACTACTGAAGAGCTAGCTATTGGGCAATGCATGTGGAGACACTGCAGGTCCCTGACAAGTCAATTGACTACAATATAGTAAAATACAACACAGTATTTTAAGTTGCAAAGCTCAGCAAACTACATTTTCAAATTCAACTCACACTGAGCAATAATTTTTAATTAATGTACTTAGAATTTCTATAAAGTGCTTAGATTGCTTGTCAGATCCATCTAATTTTAATATTCTCACTCTTGTGTATTTTGAGTATGGTTTGAAATGCACTTTGCTTCCAAGTTGTGTGGTGTTTTCTACCCACAGTTTTACATTTGAGCAGTAATTTGTTTGGTCGACGCCGACCACATCCAAGACGGTGACTAACCACATCTCAACATTTCGCCTGTTACCAATAACATCTGTTAGATATATAGTATGCATACAGTCACAATACATAGAATTTGCATAATTTCTTCAAGATTCTTGAGAAATTAGTCACAGGTAATCAAATGTGAAATACAGCTCATTCATTTGCTGAAAATTCCTTTCAGCAAATTAATTGCGGACACAACGATAAGCCTTTGGAGAGCTGTTATAGCATACCACGTCTCCAAACCAAAGAGACAAAGTGTTTGAGGTTTTAGGTGTTTTTTGGTCATCTAGGCCTTCATCTATTGGATTTTGGCTACTTATTGGGCCAAAGCTTGATTCAAATTAGGCTATGTGACATTTTCTATCAATAGATGATGGTCTATTGCAGTTTTACAGCGTGACTACCAATTTGTATATCCGTGGAATTTCCAGATTAAGCAACTGTGTTTATCATCTTTTTTAACACTAGACCTAGCCTATGTTACAAACTAAATGCGTTGCATGCCAGATATGGAAGAAAAGTACTTTCCTTTGCGGATGTTAAACTTGCGAAGACGTCTGGTTTCAGGAAACAATGACGCATAAATGGGCAGGGTTTATTCAACAGTGCTATTAAGTTTCAGAATATTCACACACAAAGGTTCTTTTTAAAAGCATATATTGTCGTCTCCTTATTACAGAATCGAAAATAATGAAGGGACTACTGAATTTGAAGATCTGGCTGACACTGGCTGTCATCTTCGTTCTCGCAGATAACGGACATGGTAAGTTTAAAATAAATTGTAGGCTATATCACCTTTTTGCATTAGCCACATATAGGATACTAGAATATTTAACTATTGAGAAAAGTAAGTAGGGATAGTTAAGGATTTTTAACAATAACATTAACGTTGATTAATTCATGTTGATACGTTTAACAGCGCGTCTGCTATCAATTTGATGTCTTCTGGCACGCTTGACAAAATAGCCTATAGGTTACTGCCCATTTTGTCTGAATTGGTCTGTATTTTCTGACAGGAGGACACATTTTACTACCAGAATAGAGTACGAGTAAGAAAAAGGTTGAGGCCCCACAAAATAGAACAATGCACATGTTGTTCATAACTTTAATCTGCCATTTGTAAAATGGGTGGTTGCATAAGTGAACATGTAATTTGATCATAGTATTGACATAGTCTATTGTAGGCCAACATCATACTGTGAAGACATTTTAATGTCTTATAATAATAATGTAGGCTAAATGTGTGAATGCAGAGTAGCCACTGCAAGTTTGTGTGAATAAGGTATTTCTTTGTTTTCTGTTTAAAAAATCAATATAAGTAGGCCTATATCCATTCTAAAAATGTTGTATGGTCCTGCCCAACAAAGACTTAAGCTGTAGGCTACCTATTTTGTTTGTTTGTTTTTTCAAAAGGGAAAATGTACTCACAGATTGCAAGAACAAATTTACTAGCAAGAAATGGGAAAGTGTCTCACATTAGGAGTACTGATCAGGTCCTCTCACAGTAGGAGTACTGATCAGGTCCTCTCACATTAGGAGTACTGATCAGGTCCTCTCACAGTAGGAGTGCTGATCAGGTCCTCTCTGTCCATTATGATCTTAAAGTCAAAACTGATCCCAAGTCAGCACGCCTACTCCGAGACGCTTGGTACATACGGACCGAGAATAGTTTAGAGTACATGTTTTTGGAAAATTGTCAAAATTTACCCCCAAAACAAGTTGCTTTATACTTTAACATAATTTTTGTTGGGCAGGATGAATGGTGGCAAGCACACTTGTTCATATCAAAACTCCCAGGCTCCTCTTAGGGATGGGGGCTACCTTGACTTGTTCCTAAACCATTCCAAGGGCCTTTACAGTCTTTTCAGGCCTATTGATTATTCCCGGGCATTATAAATCAGCATCCAGATACGGATAACTGCCAAAATAAAGCAAACCCCAACATAAAGTGTCTTAATAGGGTGTTGGGCCACCACGAGCCAGAACAGCTTCAATGCACCTTAGCATAGATTCTACAATTGTCTGGAACTCTATTGGAGGGATTTGACACCATCTTTCTATGAGAAATTCCATCATTTGGTGTTTTGTTAATGGTGGTGGAAAACGCTGCCTCATGCGCCGCTCCAGAATGTATTAATGTTCTGTATTATGTCATGTTTTATGTTTTGTGTGGACCCCAGGAAGAGTAGCTGCTGCTTTCGCAACAGCTAATCGGGATCCTAATCAAATACCAAATACCAATGTTTAAAAGCATGTATTTCATATTTCATATTCAATAGGAATATTGTCGATGAAGATCCTCTGTCACAAATTAGTTATGTTTATATATTGTCATTCCTTTATGAAACACAGGCGCTCCAGCAAAAGGCAGATATATGTGGGTTAAGTGCAGGCCAGAAGCCAAGAATGCCAACTGTGAGACACAGAGGGGTCCCTCGATGGACTTGCCCGGGCCTCCTGACAGACTCCCTTCATTTGCCGTAAAGGAAATGTAAGTATATGTCATCATCACAGATCAATTTGTCAGGAGACCAAGGCTCTATGGGTCAATGCATTTCAGAATTGAACAGAATGTGACAGAATTGTTCAAACTTTAACTTCTTTGCGCCATTGCTTTTGATGAGCGATGTCCCCATAAAGGATTGCAATAACGAACATTGACAAATTGTGTCACAAACCCTGACTTTAGCAATAACACTTCCGATTTTTTTCAAGAATCACTTCACAATTTCCTGTAGGAAATGTTATTAATGACAGAATCAGCCCGGTATGTGCGTACTGTGACTTGAATGGCCTCTGATATTCGGTCTCATTCCGAGAGCGATGGTAGCATACACAAAGTGAGCACTTTGTTGACTTATTATTAGTATAAACTACACGCGGTGGGCCGACTCAATGGTTCTAGATTATCCTGCTGAAAGATCAGTGTTAAAACTACAAACTATATGGTTTAAGTGATCTGATTATAGATGTGTGAAGGAGCACCCAAGCATTGATTTCTGCACTCATTATATTACGGCAGACAGAAGAGAACAATATGCACTCAGCTCTGTTAAACTCTCTGTTCAACGTTTTTACTATTGAGGAAGCTAAACATTTGCTATCATATGGCCTAAGACACCACTAGTGGTCTAAATCCTCATCAATACATTGTATCAGTTAGAAAAACACCAAGACGCAAAAGGGTTGAATCTCACGAAACCCTCTTCACTATACTGTTGTTTGCAGAAAAAGTTATTATTGTTATAAAGTCCCTGTAGGCATGATGAAATATAAAAACCGGCCTTATACGACAATAAAGTACATTGCCAAAAAGTCAGGAATATACTGTTTAATTTTAGGTTTTGTGTATTACACTTGCTAAAAGTACCATGCAAACAGAAGCATCAGTATTTGAATAAAACCTGTGTAGTAGTGTGGTTATTATATTAGTAACAACACTGTATTTTATGCAATTACAAAGCATTTCCTAAATAATGACTATGTAACAACATATGAATCCAATATAGTGACTGTAGTAATAACAGTGTTTCTTCACAGGTATCAGAGCAAAGTTTTACAAATGATTAACCTAATGTGTTTATTTTCACATTCACTTGAAGCTGCACTATGTAGAAATCGCTCTACCATTTCCTGGTTGCTAAAATTCTAATAGTTCGCCTAATTTCAGTTTATGTGACAAAACAAGCAACTATGTTGTAAAATATTGTATTTTCAGCTGTTTGAAGCTGATGTACAAAACCGAAAGTAAAAGACGCAAAAACTAAACTTAAGAACGGGAAGCCTAGAAATAACGCACATAGAACAGATCTACCGCTTCTTAGACTTGCTTTCAATGAAAATGACAGATCTATAACACACATTTCTATGTACATTTGGTCAGGTTGCCCAAAAAGTTACATATTGCAGCTTTAAGTTGATAAAATAAACAATTGGACACTATTTCAACAATATATTCTCTGCCAAGAACTGTTATAGAGTTATCATACACTCAGCCTTTCTTGTTAAACGCTTTGTGAAATATTGTTGATTCAATACATAATTCAACTTAATACGATCCAAGGCTCTCAGTCAAACAAAGCAGGGAGGATGGGCGTGTTGAGACGCCCCGGCCTGCGCTGTTGTGAAAAATCACAGGAAGAGCTCAGAGGATGTAGACTGTAATGGCTAATGGTACTGTGCTTCTGTTTTTCTTCCAGAGTGCCGGAAGAGGCTGGCTCAGAGCCGGAGGAGCAGTCAGGCGAGGGTTCTGCCACTGGAATCCTTTTCACTGAGCAGGGCTCTGGCGACCAGTTGGCCAGCGCAGATGTGGATGGGAATGACTACCCTGGCTTCGTCTTCCCACCGAAAATTACCATGGATCAGGCTCTGCCTCCTGCTCGGGAATTGAAAGAGGATCACCTGATCCTGTAGCCTGCCAGAATGCTAAATATTGAAATTGTGATGTCAATCCGGTTGTGTAAAATAGATTTTGCAACCTCTCATGATTACATGAGCACCTTAACAACGGAATGCCCATTTGAATTATTGTATTTTCTGGTCAAAGCTATCTGCATCTTGTGAAAGTAGTACCATGCTATTTGACCCAGGTATTGATGCTTGGCTGTGTAAGATTGTATTTAGGTAACTGAAGTGTGGGCAATGTCGGTGGCTATAGCATAATTTGCACAGTTGAGTTATTTTCCCATGGAACCAAAGAGATCAAATTACTCGCTTTTTTGTGTGTTTTTGTTTTTAATTAGATTTAACCAGTAGCCTTTATTTCTGAGCTCAGCAAATTATATTTTTCTTAAGGTTTTAAAACGTGTGGTTTTCTTGGGGATATTGTGCTTTTATTGTTTTCTTTTGCAATGATATCTATAAGATATAATATGATAGTCTTTCCCTCTTGAAATATTGTCAATACATAATACTTTATTCCGAATTTCCACGATTGTCACAATTTGATATTATATCATTCCACACTCATATATTTTTTGAAGATTTAAATAAACATGTTTTGATCATCCAATGGTTCAAATACTGTTTTAGGATATGGGATTGGGCTCCCTATCCATCGTTAGTGGACATGAGTTGGGCTCATGGTCTCGTGATCAGGTCCCACTTGGCACACACTGGTTGAATCAATGTTGTATCAACGTAATTTGTCCACGTATTGTGACATGGAATCAATGTGGAAAATACATTGGAATTGAAAAAAGTCATCAACCAGTACTACTTTCATCTCATTTCAACCAGCATTGTAAACATTTAAATAAGGGTAAGTGTCACGGTTTCGGCCGAGGCTGCCTCTCTCCCTTGTTCGGGCAGGCTTCGGCGTTCGTCGTCTCCGGAATTCTAGCTGCCACCGATAGATGTTTCATGTTCGTTTGCTTTTGTCTGTTTGTTTCCACACCTGTTTCTGTTTTACGTAATTAGTGTCCTATAAGTTTCTCGTTGTGTTTGTCTAGTGTTGTGTATGATTGTTTCCGTCAGTGTTGTGTGTTGCTCGGTTGAGCGTATTTCTCCACTGTGCTGGAGCTTAGTTGCACTTGTGTGTGCACCGTTTCATTTTGTCGCACCTGTTAGTGCGCATTTGCCTTTCGCCTTCGTGCGTGGTTTTGCTGTCGGGCTTAGTTGTCCTGTTGCCTGTGTTGGGCTAGAAATACAGCTTTTGGAACATTCAGTCTGCGTCCTGCATTTGATTCCTACACTACACCATACTACACGCCCCTGACAGAATCATACACCACCAATGGAATCAGCAGGAGCCGAAGCAGCCCAGACGAGACTGGAAGCCCAGGTTCGGGACCAGCAAGAGCAGCTCCTGCAGATGGGGACCGCCCTGCAGGAGGTGATTACCACACTCCGAGGCTGGGGTGCGCCTCCACCGCCGCCCGCCTGCCCAGCACCATCGGCCAGCCCGCCCATTCCGCGCCGGAACCTCGAGGAGTCCGACTATCTCTCCCGAGGGCCTACGACGGGACCGCGGCTGGGTGTCAGGGATTCCTGCTCCAGGTAGAGCTATACCTGGCCACAGTGCACCCGGCACCTTCAGGGCATGAGAGCGTGTCCGCCCTGATCTCCTGCCTGGCCGGAAAAGCGTTGGAGTGGGCCAACGCGGAGTGGAGGAAGATCGACGCCACGACGATTACGTACACCGAGTTCTCCCGCCGCTTCAGGGCGGTGTTTGACCATCCCCCGGAGGGGAAAGCGGCGGGGGGAGCGTCTGGTCTTCCTCCGGCAGGGGAGGAGAAGTGCCCAGGAATTCGCGCTCGAATTCCGGACTCTAGCGGCAGATGCAGGGTGGAATGATCGGGCCCTCATCGATCTATACCGATGCAGCCTACGAGAGGACGTCCGTCGGGAGCTGGCGTGTAGGGACACCAGCCTCACTTTCGACCAGCTGGTTGATATGTCCATCAGGCTGGATACCCTGCTGGCTACCCGCGGACGTCCTGCGGAGGGTCCGTCCATTCCACCCTCCAGCGCCTCCGAGCCTTGTCCTATGGAGCTCGGGGGCGCTGGCGCTAGAGAGAGGAGGAGTCGGCAGGCTAGGGGGTCCATCCACTGCACCAACTGTGGTCGGGGAGGACACACCGCGGCTAGGTGCTGGGGATGGCCTCCTAGGGGAGATGACGACAGGTCCCGCACTGGGGATTCCCTCCAGGTGAGTAGGCGCCCCACTCACCCAGAGCTCTCTGTTGCCCATTTTTGTATGCCTGTACGTTTTCCACAGGTAGCACCTCATTCCCAGCATAAGGCGCTGGTAGATTCAGGCGCGGCTGGGAATTTTATTGATAAAAAGTTTTGTTTAGCGTTAGGGATTCCCCTCATTCCTGTTGATGTTCCTTTTCCCGTTCACGCCCTAGATAGTCGTCCGTTGGGTACGGGCTTAATCAGGGAGGTCACGGCGCCACTTAGGATGTGTGCGCAGGGGGATCATCAGGAGATGATTCAGCTGTTCCTGATTGACTCTCCTGCGTATCCGGTGGTGCTGGGCATGCCCTGGTTGAGTACCCATAACCCAGTGATTTCGTGGCAGGAGAGGGCTCTGATGGAGTGGTCTGCTCAGTGTGTGGGTAGATGTTTGGGCGTTTCCGTAGGGGCTACCTCGGTGGAGAGTCCAAACCAGGTGCCCGCATTGCACGTTCCGCCTGAGTATGGGGATTTGGCTATTGCGTTTAGTAAGGCGAGGGCGACGCGGTTGCCACCCCATAGGCAGGGGGATTGTGCGATAAACCTCCAGGCAGGAGCTGCGCTCCCACGGAGCCATGTGTATCCTCTGTCTCAGGAGGAGAAGAAAGCTATGGAGATTTACATAGACGAATCGCTGAGACAAGGATACATACGGCCGTCCACTTCCCCCGCGTCCTCGAGTTTCTTTTTCGTGAAGAAAAAGGATGGTGGTTTGCGCCCATGCATCGATTACCGTGGTCTCAATCAGATTACGGTGAAGTATAGTTATCCACTCCCGCTGATTGCGACCATGACTGAGTCGTTGCATGGGGCGCGTTTCTTCACGAAACTAGATCTCAGGAGCGCGTACAACTTGGTGCGCATCAGGGAGGGTGATGAATGGAAAACAGCCTTTAGTACCACCTCGGGCCATTACGAGTATCTGGTCATGCCATACGGGTTGATGAACGCTCCATCAGTTTTCCAATCATTTGTGGATGAGATCTTCAGGGACATGCAGGGGCAGGGGGGTGGTGTAGGTGGTGGTACATTGATGACATTCTCGTGTACTCACCTACCCGTGTCGAGCATGTGGCCCTGGTGCGCAGGGTGTTGCGGAGGCTGGTGGAGCACGACCTGTATGTGAAGGCAGAGAAGTGTCTGTTTTTCCAGGAGTCGGTCTCCTTTTTGGGTTATCAGTTGTCTGCGTCAGGGGTGAAGATGGAGGTAGACCGGGTGTCGGCCGTGCGTAATTGGCAAACACCAACCACTGTGAAGGAGGTGCAGCAGTTTTGGGGTTTGCAAATTACTACAGGAGGTTTATCCGGGGTTTTGGACAGGTGGCAGCTCCCATCACGTCTCTGTTGAAGGGGGTCCGGTGCGTCTGCAGTGGTCGGCCGAGGCGGACAGGGCGTTTGGGAGGCTGAAGGACCTGTTTACCTCGGCCCCGGTGCTGGCGCATCCGGATCCCTCTTTGCCGTTCCAAGTAGAGGTGGACGCGTCGGAGGCCGGTTTAGGAGCCGTGCTTTCACAACGATCTGGCGCGCCACCTAAACTCCGCCCCTGTGCTTTTTATTCTAAGAAGCTCAGTCCGGCGGAGCGGAACTATGACGTAGGGGACAGGGAGCTGTTAGCCGTGGTACAGGCTCTAAAGGTGTGGAGGCACTGGCTTGAGGGGGCTCAACACCCTTTCCTCATTTTGACGGACCACCGTAACCTGGAGTACATCCGGGCGGCGAGGAGGCTGAACCCTCGCCAGGCAAGATGGAGTATGTTCTTGACCAGGTTTACTTTTAAGATCACGTACATCCCTGGGTCACAGAATGGCAAGGCAGATGCGCTGTCTCGGCGGTATGACGCGGAGGAGAGGTCCGTGGAGCCCACTCCCATACTGCCTGAGTCGTGTCTGGTGGCACCGGTAGTGTGGGAGGTCGATGCTGAACTCGAGCGGGCGTTACGCACCGACCCTAGTCCACCACAGTGCCCGGAGGGTCGGAAGTACGTTCCGCTCGAGGTTCGGGATCGATTGATCTATTGGGCTCACACGTCACCCTCCTCTGGACATCCGGGTATCGGCCGGACAGTGCACTGTCTTAGTGCCAAGTAACTGGTGGCCCACGTTGGCAAGGGATGTGAGGGTTTATGTTTCCTCCTGCTCGGTGTGCGCCCAGTGTAAGGCCGCCTAGACATCTACCTAGGGGTAAGTTGCTACCCCTGCCTGTTCCACAAACGGCCATGGTCCCCACCTCTCAGTGGACTTATAACAGACCTTCCCCTCTCCCAAGGGAATACTACCATCCTGGTCGTTGTGGACCGGTTCTCTAAGGCCTGTCGTTTGCTCCCCATGCCGGGTCTTCCTACGGCCCTGCAAACTGCCGAGGCATTGTTTACCCATGTGTTCCGGCACTACGGGGTACCCGAGGACATTGTGGCTGATCGGGGTCCCCAATTCACGTCCAGAGTCTGGAGAGCGTTTATGGAGCGGTTGGGGTCTCGGTGAGCCTCACCTCGGGTTACCACCCGGAGAGCAATGGGATGGGCAGGTGGAACGCGTAAAACCAGGATGTGGGTAGGTTTCTCAGAAACATACTGCCAGGACCGGCCGGAGGAGTGGTCAAGGTACGTTCCCTGGGCCGAGATGGCCCCAGAATTCCCTACGCCATTCCTCCACTAACCTAACTCCATTTCAATGTGTGTTAGGTTACCAGCCGGTTCTGGCACCCTGGCAGCAGAGCCAGATCGAGGCTCCTGCGGTGGATGAGTGGGCGCGGCGCTCGGAGGAGACTTGGAACGCTGCACCGTCCACCTGCAGCGGGCCCTCCGACGTCAGAAGGCGAGGCGCTGATCTCCACCGCAGTGAGGCACCGACCGGTGTACGCACCTGGTGATCGAGTCTGGCTCTCTACCAGAAACCTGCCCCTCCACCTGCCCTGTCGGAAACTGGGTCGGCGGTTTGTAGGGCCATTTAAAGTCCTGAGAAGGTTGAACGAGGTATGTTATAGATTACAGCTACCTGTGGAGTATAAGTGTATTAACCCCTCGTTCCATGTGTCCCTTCTCAGGCCGGTGGTAGCGGGCCCACTCCAAGAAGATGAGATCTTGGAGACTCCTCCGCCCCCGTTGGACATCGAGGGGGGCACCGGCGTACTCCGTGAGATCCATCTTGGATTCGAGACGTCGGATGGGGGGTCTCCAGTATCTAGTGGAGTGGGAGGGGTACGGTCCGGAGGAGCGGTGCTGGGTGCCGAGGAGAGACGTGTTGGACCCGTCGCTCCTGACGGAGTTCCATCGGAGGCATCCGACGCGCCCTGCGCCGCGTCCCCTGGTCGTCCCCGAGGCCGGAGTCGGCGCA